TGTACGTATGTGTACTTTTTGTGTGTGTGTGTGTGTACGTATGTGTACTTTTTGTGTGTGTACGTATGTACTTTGTGTGTGTGTACGTATGTGTACTTTGTGTGTGTGTGTACGTATGTGTACTTTTTGTGTGTGTGTGTGTGTACGTATGTGTACTTTTTGTGTGTGTACGTATGTACTTTGTGTGTGTGTACGTATGTGTACTTTGTGTGTGTGTGTACGTATGTGTACTTTTTGTGTGTGTGTGTGTGTACGTATGTGTATTTTGTGTGTGTGTGTACGTATGTGTACTTTGTGTGTGTGTACATACTTTGTGTGTGTGTGTGTGTACGTATGTGTACTTTGTGTGTGTGTGTGTACATACTTTGTGTGTGTGTGTGTACGTATGTGTACTTTGTGTGTGTGTGTGTGTACATACTTTGTGTGTGTGTGTGTACATACTTTGTGTGTGTGTGTACGTATGTGTACTTTGTGTGTGTGTACATACTTTGTGTGTGTGTGTGTGTACGTATGTGTACTTTGTGTGTGTGTGTGTACATACTTTGTGTGTGTGTGTGTACGTATGTGTACTTTGTGTGTGTGTGTGTGTACATACTTTGTGTGTGTGTGTGTACATACTTTGTGTGTGTGTGTACGTATGTGTACTTTGTGTGTGTGTACATACTTTGTGTGTTTTTGTGTGATCATGTATGTATGTCTGAAGTCTACATTTGTTTTTATATATGTTTGTGTATTTATATGTGCTTGTATATATATGTGTGCTAGTGTTTGGGATTATATTATGTGTGTGGTTGATGGAAATGATTAATACCGCCATACACATTATTGAGATCTTTTAGCAGATGGGCTGCTTCAACCAGTAGTGGTGTTGTCGCTATCCAATGTTTCAATTGGTCGCTTTTAAGCATTAGGGGATTATCCCTAAAATGCTGTTTTGAGAAAATCGAAGGTAAACTTTTTGCCCCTTGTTCAGTTTCTTTAAAAGACAAGGAGATTTTTCTCTATAACCGAACAAATATACACACCAGTGAAACCAAACTATGCCTTCTATAGGTAGGGCAATGCCCATTTTGGTGAAGGTCAAGATTTCTGGAAATCCTCGAAATCTGGGTTAGCCCGCTTGTCCTTAAAAGCGACCATTTGTGACCAAGTAAGTAAGTACTGACCTCCGTGTCAATGCAGGCGGTTGGAGGGCGCCAATGGTAGATCCTACTTCTCAACTCCTCTCTGTTTTTTCTATTTGTCTGTCTTACTATTTCATAGCACGGAATGGTCTTTCTTGTGTTGATGTGTTTCTCTTATTCAAACAAACAAACCATGTCAATTGATGTCTAGAACATGTACAATCTTCCCC